ACTGTAAGGGGTTAAGGATAAAGGATAAAGCATTTGCCGTTGATCAATCCCTTTTTGGGATGCGGCACGCATTCTACTTCCATTTGTACATTCGTAGTGGCGTTTGAATGCGATGTGGCCTATACAATGACTTGCGGGGGCCAGCCGATGTACAAGTCAGTGTTTTTATCCTCCCAGACAAGTCTGGTACCAATTAACCGACCCCGGAGGGATGGAAGGCTTGGTTGGCCCGGGCGACTCACGACCCAGGACCCAGGATTTGATCCCCGGACCGCTCGCGTGGTAAGCGTGCCACTTGCCTCTACACCACTTCCGTCCCGTAAGAGGTAGCAGTCAAACAAGATATGATGTGGGTCGCGGAGGAAGTCGGGGGAAAAAACTTCTAGTCACAAAAACACACTAAACAACCAAGATGACACAGAGAAGATATCGAACAGTGGCCGGGTACGGTCCGACCGAGCGTCAGGAGGTCGAAATCGCAAGGCGCCTGCGGCTTAGTGACTCATTTCAAGATGCCAGTTTGTCGCGATCTCCACAGTTGCGGACCTGGTGTCTCCACCCACGGAAGGGACCTCCTCAGTGAGGCCGAGCCCAACCTTTGGCTTTAAAGCGGTCACAATGGCCATCGCCAAATTCAGAGGACTGCATTACGACAACATATTTCTACTCAATGCAATTAATCCAGGGTTGAGAGTCTGTGAATCGCCTCAGTCCTCATCGGATTCTCGAGGTCGTCAAAGACTACAGTACTAAGGCACTTTGCGCGACTAACCAGGAAAGGCATTCAACTTCCCATGGAACTTTGAATTGAGACCCAGATATATCGATAGAGCTTCAAACGCTGATTACAAATATGGAAACTAAAACTGCAAAATGAACCTGCCAAGGAAGTTGTGAGCAGTCAAAGTTGGCTGGAAGTAAAGCGTTACGTATTAACCGTGCTAGCCTCCGGGCTTTCAAAGTCGCCGTGGAGTAGTGGTAGTGCTCTCAAAATTTGCACTCCAACGGGAAGAGAACTTATGACCTCCGGGTGGAGAGCGGGGGCACTATCGCTACTCCGCGGCGACATTGAAAGCCTGGAACATAGCACGGTTCATATGTAACGCTTTACTTTAGCCAACTTTGACTGCTCACAACTTCCTTGGCAGGTTCATTTTGCAGTTTTTTCCATATTTGTAATCAGCGTTTGAAGCTCTATCGATATATCTGGGTCTCAATTCGAAGTTCCATGGGAAGTTGAATGCCTTCCTGGTAAGTCACAGGACTGATGATAAGTCCTCTTACGTGTAATGTTGCTGGATCGCAATCAAATCGACAATGCCTTTTACGACTCTGAACAAAAGAGCGCTAATAGATTAAACTTGCAAACATGATCATCTCAATCACCAATACGCCGTGCTCTCTCGACTTCGTAGGTCGTTCTCTCGCCGACATCCAGTGCTTATTAGGCTGCTTCTCTTCAGACTGTTCCACCGTTCACAGAGAAGAGGCTTTATTTTGTGTGCTTTCAGTTTATACTGTGATTTATGCCGTCTCGGGTATCGCGGAAAAGCGCGTCAAAATTGTAGGAAGTTCAATCTCCTCTTACTGCGCATCTGTAGTAAGGGCATTACAATCCAATCTAGTCTTTACAGTGTACCGTGTAAATGAATAAAGAATAAATTCAGAACAATTAGAACAAAAATGCAAAAATTAGAACACATTGCACGTTTTTCAAAAGTCCGTGAAATGGTCGTAACTTGTAGAGGTTATGATCCATCACGGGTGCTATCTGCGCCGCGTTAACGTCTCCTCACTACACACCTACCCTTCTAATAACTGGGATAGTGGCGGGCAAATCTCTTGCCAAGCCCATCAGAATTTTCAATTCAGCAAAGCGAGACTTCGGCCAACTTTTTGAATACGTTCTAGAAGAAACATGGAACAAAATCTAGAACCCTGACTCCTTACGACAGAAGTCTTGATGTGCCGCATGTCGACTTTCTTTCAACAATCATAACCTCATATGTTTGCCCATAGAAAGGCTTGCTAGAGCGCGCCTAGGGTTCCAGTCTAGGTTTCTCATCTCAACGGATAACCAATTCGGAAAGTATGCTTGTTCGAAGAAGCAATCGATCCGGCGAATTCGAACCATGGCATGCGTAGACGTTCCTTTTCACAAGACACCCCATTTTCAGCGCTTAGATCACATCTGCAGGTGAAGTTAAGACAGCATTGGATACAGATGGTGACCAGAAATCTTTCACGGGAGCCATTAGTGAACAAGGAAAGTCATCTGATGAGAAACTTCAGAAATGGCTGGAAGGAGGGAAAGATTCGAACGGAGGCGCAGAGAGCACTCATGATGGGCCATAACCTTAATGCGTTATGGCCGTTGTCACTGTCGTTTGTTAAGATTGATATGAATGAAGAAGCCCTTTCCGCTGATGGTTGCGTTGAATACGATATTGCCCAGCGCATATCGATGCAACATTATTGATTCTATTAACAAGGATTCTACCAAATCGATTGAATCGATTACGTTATCTTTACTGGTAGCTGGATCACTCCATAAATCCCAGTATTCGCTCAAAACCAAAACGTCCTAGTTACGAACAGCAGCACAGTTTCACCTTCATGAAAGAAAAAATGTTTCAATTCTATTTGTGTGCCGTGCAATCTTCCCTTGGATCAAATTCCTGGACTAAAATCTACACATTCATGCTAACTTGCTAAATTATAACACAAAGAGTTGAAAGAATTACCCCAGTTTTTCAGCCTAAATATTTTTCAAACTGTATAAGTGACTCTGGAAAGACTTCAGCATGTGTCATTTACCTATACTTCGCCAACCATAACGGCTTCTACATCAGGGCAAATTGATCAATTTCGAAGCTTTGATGGAGCCTCCCCAAAAATATAAATGAAACGTCAAGGAATCTGGCCGGCTGGTTAGTATAAGGGCTAATTACCTATAGATACTGTTAGATGACTCGTCTTTTCAAAGTGTCTAGACCCCACTCGTGATGCTCCTCATGCCAATCCCCTAATCCATCTTCCTCAGGGCGCCACGCATATCTCCCTCCTGCTCAGAAGATGCAGTGGTATTCGATTGCAATTTGTACACACACATACAAATGACGTCAGGGACAAACCAGCCTACTATATACTAGTCGTTGTTTTTATCCTCTCAGATGAATCTGCTGGACTGAACTCAACTCGATCACGCAGGGCTAGAGCATGGCTGCCTTGGGGTGGATAAGTCCAGGATATGCGCGGTAAGTTACGTCTTTGTCACTATCCCATCTCTTTGCAGAGGATTTATGGGAATTGGTCAGGATCTGTGCGTGCCACTTGCCCTTCCGATCGGGCGGAAGTGGTGCAGTGACAAGTGGCGCGCTCACCACGCGAGCGGTCCGGGATCAAATCCTGGGTCGTGAGTCGCCCGGGCCAACCAAGCCTTCCATCCCTCCGGGGTCGGTTAATTGGTACCAGAGACTTGTCTGGGAGGAAAAACTGACTTGAACATCGGCTGGCCCCCGCAAGTCATTGTATAGGCCACATCGCATTCAAACGCCACTGCGAATGTACAAATGGAAGTAGAATGCGTGCCGCATCCCAAAAAGGATTGATCAAAATGCTTTATCCTTTTCTTTACAATAATTTTGTAATGACTTCGGTATATTGAGAGACTGATTGGCCCCTCTCATATGGTCTTGGTCCATCTCAGGTCGAGAAAACCTTGAATGGCCATCTTCTTCTCATCCATTATAAAGCCGTTGTTCTCATTGTTTCTTAATGGTATGAGCCATCGTCACCCCTATGTACTTCACATTTCGATACGCTCCTCCCCTCTTGCAGCGTGGACAACAATTCAGCAGAACTTTCACGGATTATTATTTTCGATAGGAACTTCTTGCTATGCAACCTTTCTGTGGCAGTTTCAGGAGACAAATTATACAAATTTTCAACTAGTTTGAAGATTGGCTCGTGCCAGTTTTGATGATTGTCCATGAAACTTTCGCGTTTTCGCAGAGTATCCTTTCAAGTTTGCCCCACATAGTTGATTAAGGTCCAGCTACAACTAAGTTATGGTCAGTTCAATCCTCTTGAAAAGGTGACACATCTTCCTCGAGGGTGAAACCAGGTGAAATGCAATATATTAATAATTATAACGACCTGTCTGTACACTCCACGTCAATTTTATTTCTGTTGCATATTGATCGGAAAGGGTAAACTTTAAATTTGCGTTAGGCGCTAATCGCAAGACACGGGGGCATGCCGGTTGGAATAGAATTCAAAACCATACCGTGACCCGAACGTAAGGCAATACTCCTTTTATGATAAAAAGATCCGGAACGATCTCGATGACGGAGAGGATAGGCTGCCAGATGCGCGAGCCGATTTCGCCCCACTTGATTCTCTCTGCCCTCTCCTTAGGCCCAGTCTTAGAGAGTGACCCTTAATCTGCTATATTTTTTTTTTATCTTCTTCGATTGTTTAGTTTTTAGTTCTGTCTGATTAATTTTTTTAATATATATTATCATATTTCTATATTAGCAACAAGGTAGGTCCATATCTTTCTAATTCTATTTATAATATTTTGTTTTTAATATTTAATTCTGTTCAATATAATATTTATCTTTAATTGTTTTAATATTATTGCTTCTTTGTCTGCACTCTCTATATTATATTAGTTTAAAGCCAATTGACCATCTACCGATTCTCTTCTTGAAATATTTCTACAGATATTTTATTAATGCTGTTCATTTCTTTTTATTATGTATCCTAAACTATTACTTTTTTATTTCGTTTTTTCGGCTTCTTCTTGCTTTATTTTTTATCCTTTTGTATTTTGGTATAGTCTTCGGTAAGTGACTTCCGAGCCTCAGAATATCGCAGTTTTTCGATTGCTGGTCAACACGGTAAGCTTCGCACATCTTTCACACATTGTTCAAATCTTCGTGTAATTAGCCACCTGAAGATTTCCGATCCATCCATTTACAGAGAACAGTTCCGACTCACGTAAGGCCTTCAAGCAGTCGAATCAATCGATCTTCATGGTTTTTCCTCTCTTTGATTTCGCCTTGTTTTTGTGCTGAACGGGAGCCATCGCCATTCGACTGAAATAACGTTTGGCCTTCATTTCCTTTTGATATGGTATGAATAGCTGACACTTACGATATTTGTCGCGGGAACCATTATCTTCTGAGAGACCAATCGGGTTATTTCTTCAGCGGCTTCACTGATGTATTTTCGAGCATTCTGCGCATTAACCTGAATAAGATCTCTGAATCTACCGTATTCTAGTCGAGAAAATGTGGGAACGAACCTGAGCTATTCGTCTTAGCTGCTTCATATCCGTACCGGCCTGCTGCACCTTTTGACGAAGATGATCAAGTTGATGTTGGGTATGAGATGAGAGACTATCCGGTAATGAAGGTGGTTCTTCTGAGGCAGCTCGTTCGGCATCGGGATGAAGTGCGAGAATCTGAAAGGGATCCTCATTGAAGAACTGCTTGGGTTAGAGAATGTTCTGAAGTACTTCTCTCCGAAGATCGGCCATGTCCCTTCGGCTGCTTTCGCTCATTCCTTTGCTCACCAACGCTGAATGAACGAGGCTCGACAAGCCAGCCAACTGACGCTCCATCGTCTCCATTCGAGCTCTGCAGGTAAAAAAGAATCGTAAACGTGCAGCGATGAAAAATGTGTCGTAAAATTAGCAGGTGACCATCTAAGCATCGTAAACTCACAAAAGCCTCCTGAATTTGGTCATGATAACAAGGGTAGGGTGGGGGTGATGGCGCTATGAAGGGCGCAACGAATGCGGAACTCATGGGCGTTGAGAGGTCTCGATTTGTCATGAACTAATGGGGCATTCGGGCCATGGCCGACCAGCTGATATAGCATGAAAAAGGACGACGGCGGTCGTTGTGCAAAACGTGTCCTAAGCATGATGGAATGAATGAGTTATAAAAGCGCGGCACGTTCTTACTAGCTGGGCCCACCACAGGTGTCCTTCAGAGCTTTCGGACGGGTGACAGACGCACGATGGGAATACGCGCCTCCCACCTCGATTCCCGGTCGATCACCGGTGTCGCTGAGCCGCTTCTTGTCACCGATCGTGAGTCATGACTGCTCGTGTCACTGCTGTATGCGTCGTACGGCTCGTAGCTCTTGCGCGAACTCTTGCGATAGTCCGTGTGAGCCATCGCCGATGCTGGACGAGCCAGGGAGACGAACCTGAATCAGGGCGAGGTATGCTACGCAGAAGATGAGGTCGTGACAAACTTGGCTCTGAAGAAACTCTTGTTCCTTGTTGAAACTCAAAAAGTCCCCCAGCTCTCAGTCTTTGGAACACGAAGAGGTAATCAGGGAATCTTATGAACCCTGACAAGGCGATCACTTACCTCTGCCTGCTGTCATCGTTCTCCGTTTCCGACAAGTAGTCTGGTTGTTCGAGATATCGAACTGGCGACTGCATCCCTGTGGTCGAATGATCGCGAAGCTTCAGAACTGACTTGTTTCGGATATCACTGAATCAAAATCAATGCATTACTGCGTATGCCAGTAATCGATTGACTGAAATCCATTGTGTGCATATGTCCATAAGTTTTTGTGATGTGCTTCATCAGTAACCAATAAGCTATCAATGATTTAATACTGTTGAAATACATAATATTTAGTTCCTGCATAAGAAAAAGTATACTGGCGACTTCGGAAATTGATGTTGTCAGATGATGTCTACTCCAAGGCACAACCCAGGCAGAAGTCGCGTCAACACGAATCCCTTCTATCTGTAGGATAGACCCCTAGAGGACAATGACTGATGTGGCATTCCCGTGTACAGAAACCAACCAACAGTAGCGTAGGGCCTTGCAAAGTAAGTTGTCCAGCCGATTACGAAGGTGGGTGAGCCCTCAACCTGAGCGTTTTCGACGACGGATTCTTTTCCTTTTCTCTTTACTGACGGCCCTTTTCGTACCAACACATTGGCATTTGTGTGAAGAACCATACACCAACTTGATCCAACGGTCGCATGCCTTCAAGAAAAATAGCTTTTCTATTTGAGCAATGGTGAAAACGCATGCAGTTTTAGATGGGAAAACGTTGTAGTTATGAACTAAGCAGCACAATTTATACTAAGAAACTACTGAATGAAATAAACAGAAAGGTTCTCATCCGTGTGGCTGCGTGATCCACATGGTAGACCACGCGTAAGGAATAGGTTTAATATTTGCATTGTAACTCGTTCTGGCTATCTTGTTGTTGTTGAGGTCCCTACATTACTTTGGAAGCTGGATCTGAGTTACACCTTCGCCGACCAGATAGATCTCCTTTCTCATGTTTGTCAGTTTGAGGTTTACATTTCGTGAGTGAAAGTGCTAATTTGTAGTGGGTGGTTCAAAAGAGGATATTAGGCATCAAATGCTCACTCCTACAGAGGCTTAAGCAATCTACGACTCAGCGAAGACGCATGCCCAAGCTAGTTCTTAAGTCGTCTTTTGGTTGAACTCACCTCCTAAAGCAGGCTCCGAAAACGGGTGGAAGCAGAAAAGAAGCCCCAAGAAAGCCTAACGAATTCCCTTCCTGAGAAGAGTGGTGATTTGTAGGGTCGTCTCGCCTTCTGGATATTCTGTGTCACATACGATTTCAAGGTCCCAATCCCTCACTATAAGTTTGCCAGAAGATAGAGAACAAAATTGCCATTCGGATGGAGCAAAAGGAAAATTAGTCATAAATGAAATAGTCTTTGGGGCGCTATCGCAAGATAATAGAGCATCCTCTGGGACTAAGGAAGGGGCAAGAATTCTTTGGAAAAAGCAAGTTGTCACGCAGAATCGGAGTCTCCGCCTCCCGCCTCTGGCTTCAGCCCCGACATCCAACACAACAAGGTGATGCCTTAAAAAATAAAAAAAAAAAAAAATTATGGCCGTTCTGAATCCATCGTCACTATAATGCCCCGTATATTACGATAGCGCCCTCCGGCAGTAAATAACAGCCGTTACTTGCTGGACAAAAATGACGGAAGATTATTATGTTTGTGGCACCTCAAAGATTTCTACATCGGAACCAATCGAAGTTCCTAACCCACTGCGATACCGTGACGCCGCGCGTTGCCACATTATCTTTCCAACGAACGAGACTTGTGTTGCTTCAAACTTATTTGGCATTTTCCAGTATCCCCGAGAAACCCCGTATACATCCCCAGTGGTTCGAAAAACAAACGAGTATATCAATGATTGAAAAGTTTTGAAGTGTGAACGATTATTGATGGAAAAATATGGAAAAAGGATGCCGGAATGCACGCACAATGGCGGTCGCCAGTGGATTAATTAGAGTACACTCTGGAGGACTCGTCGTCCTACTCAATCTATCCAAGTACTTCAATAACAAGTATTGCAAGAGGCACATCGCTCATCTACAAAATGTTAGCAAAGATTGCGGTAAACATGCCTGGGATCGTCGAGTTCGTAAAACAGTTGTCCCTTCGATGGTTCTTGTATGTAGATCTTGACGGATGGCTGTTCAATATAATGACGCGAAATGTTCGGAAAAGCTCGCGCGAACGCCATCTTCACCTGATCAAGGCTGTGTACCTGAAATTCGATAGGGGATAAGAGCCACGGATCGAATTTCTGTTACTCGGCATAAAAGCAGCGATTACTCGTCGAATGGTAACCTTTGAACAGGAAGCTGACTGACCTCTGGTGGTAGAATGGCACGTTTGACTTCGTCGTTGGCCTGTAGGAAAACCACATTCATCTGATCAAGTTGCCGTCCACCTGACGACATCATGTCACTGTTCTGCTGGGGAAAATGCTCGGCGCTTCTGTTCGCATCCCATCGTGGTACTGTAGCGGGGGATCCACCGTACTGTTGTGGTGGTGGACCCCTTACTGGAGTAGTCGGTCGATATCCCACCGAAGGAAGGGTGGAAGCTGATCGCCTCGGCTCAGACATCTCAAGATGATCACCCTAAATAGCGAGATTTCAAAAGAGTCGATCTCACTAACAAGGGGGGTCTTTCAGGGCAAGCTCACGCTTTTTCAGAACGGTTTTTTGCATATTATAGGGAACACAAAACCATGTTTCATTTTCGCTGAACGGTTTTAGCAGTGTAAAAGGAATGAGGCACTGTTTAATAGTTCGTTCCCTGTGAGAATAAGAAATTTTTGCATTAGTGTGCGCTGGCGAGCCTACGGCGGTATGGGTCCAAATCGCGCTTAGGGCTTCAAACCAGGGTATATAATCGTCAGGAGCATTCATCTCACTTGAACTTCATCGTTCATTTTGAAACGCAACAAGTAGCCGCAGACCTATTCAATTTAGTCGCCGCGGAGGATCGAACCATCGAGGGTATCATTCACCACTTTTTTGGTACTACTAATCGTTCAGCGAAAACGAAATATGGTTTTGTGGTGCATGCATGTGTCCCTACAATATGCAAGAAACCGTTTTCAAAAGCGGCGGCTAGCACTTGGAACCCCCCCCATGTGAGTGCTCAGGTATTCTAATATGTGCTCAACATTTAAATTAAATTTTATACCAAGCATATCTAATGGCGACAAGGTAAGGGTATTAGACTGATCAATTTCTACTCCAAATCGACCTCGGGTGTGGTAAGTCCATAAAGGCGGAGCAGGGCGAGTTAGTTGAACTTTACAAAATGTTGACTACTTACCAATTCTAAATTATTTCAGGTCAGGAGAAGGTGCTAAGCACCGAAATATTGTCGCCTTAAAAAACATACACTCTGGGTTTCCTTTTTTGGGACATTTATAGGTTCTGTTTATGGCTAAAATATTTTGGAGCAAAAGTATAAATATTCAGTTGATGGTTCTTACTAGTATGGGTAAAAATTGGCTCTTAGTAGAATCACCAGAAAAAGCAGTTGCTCACATCTGCCAAAGAATAAACTATAACAAACCTGTTCACGAAGGTGCTGAAGGACAGAGCCGGCTCGAGAAGAGGAGCCAGCCGGTCCAGAAGCAAATCTTCGCAACATTGGCTCATCGTCGACCACTTCTGATGACGCCAAAGGGGCCATCGTCACTCTGTACGAGGAATCGGCGTATCGCCAGTCGGTTGCCGGTGCTTGGTCGCATTTTTCCAAACCTGAAACTATGGTTGTTCCAAAATGAGGTGAATACAAAGCCAATCATTTTTGCACTTTTCTAATGTTGTGATGGAAACAGCCATTGTCGGGACTCATTAGCAGGAACATAGCAGCGGTCACTGCACCACCAGTGTGTAATGTTCGATAACGGCAAGCTGAGATGAAATCCTACTAATCCTCCCAATAGTGAAGGTGAAGCATTATTAATCGCAAAAGAGGACCCTCCTGAAGGACTCACCGTTGACGTTCGCTGGACCGACAGATCCAATCACTCGAGCCTCTCCATAGTCGTTTTGCCACTCAGGCGCTTTATACTGGCTGAATTCGTTGCGATCTTCGTTGAATCGCACACTCCGTCTTGGCGTGTGGTTGTGAAGGTCTCGGTCAACGGCCTGTTCCCTTGTGAGGGTGACATGCTTTGCCCTTTCAGGTTCCGGTGTTTTTCTGCCGAGAATTCGATTCTTCCATGAGAATATGCCCGGCATGTCCGCTGTTGTTCAACAACACGACTGGGGCAAGGTGCAAAAAACAGAAGGCCGTTTGAGAAGGCGATGAGCAGTAACGAGGGAGGAGCTCAGGAGGTTAGCGGTTGTCGAGCGAGGGTCAATGGCGATGGAGGAATATTACAGCGTAGTGCGGTGCGGGTGAAGAGGAGAAAGGAGGGATAGAGTTCAGCAGGCAATTGCTGCACTCCGACTCCTCCCGAACATCGCAACTGCAAACTGTGTCGGCTTCCTCTGACCACTAGTCTCATCCTAGACCCTCCCCTTCCTTCGAACCGACCATCGAACGAACGCCTCAGATTACTCTCGACTTCAGTGTAATTCTCAATCACCACCAAACTGCGTCTAGTCAGTGAACCTCTTCGGCCCCTACTGGTTCACCATCTTCTGTGTACCTGGGAGATGAAACTGCTCAAATTGGAGAGCAAGGAAACCACTTGAAGGACAAATCCACAAGAATTCGCATTTCCATACAGCAACGAGGAAGTGGTGTAGTGGCAAGTGGCACGCTTACCACGCGAGCGGTCCGGGGATCAAATCCTGGGTCGTGAGTCGCCCGGGCCAACCAAGCCTTCCATCCCTCCGGGGTCGGTTAATTGGTACCAGACTTGTCTGGGAGGATAAAAACACTGACTTGTACATCGGCTGGCCCCCGCAAGTCATTGTATAGGCCACATCGCATTCAAATCCGAAGCGAAGCCCAAGTGAAATGAAGCCCAGTGTAAACGGATTGGATTGGACGGGACGGATGGCTCAATTGAATCAATTCTTTTACCTTTTTTTTTTGTCGTAGGGATGAGACACTATGCTGAGAAATCGATTTCAGTCTTTCAAGCCTTCAGTGCTATTGATCTCCTACTCGAGTAGCTGTAAAGACTTTCCGATAGGCACTAAGTTTCTTATTGCTCAGAAAAGCAGCTTAAGTAAACTCTCGAAGTAATGTTGCTGCGGAAACACGGTCCTAACTCTAGACTTTCCTCTGAGCTTGGCACTTAGTGATCATACACTGACCCAATATTTGGCCAAAAAATTTTGTGACCCCACCTACTCTACTTGGGATTGTCGAACGACCCCGCTTACCTCGTGTCAGAGACGACCGCGACTTGGCTACACCGGTGTCAGCTATGCGCCAAAGCGCCCATACGCCCTTCCGCATCCCAGTGGAGACAACCGCCGACCACAATCCGCACCGCAGTGGCCCTTTCTTCATGTTTGATTCGAGAGACGTCGACCACTGCCACTACGCCGAGATTTTCGTTCAAAAACTAGGCGGGGAAATCGGCGAAGTGGGGAGCGAGGGGGGGTTTCGGAAAGCACAAAATGTAAAAGCGAAACGATGCTCCACATATTGATAGTCTATAGAGTGCATGTGGGATTTTCCTCTGAAGTATATTCCCCAAATCTGTCAAAAAACCATCAAAAACGACGCAAACGCAGCGACCTCCCAACTCATCTAAACACAAGCACCACCTCTCGAAAAAATATGCAGAAAAAAAAGCCGTGGACAACTACCCCTACTTGCGGTATTTTAAGACTACTTTAGGGTAGTACCATTTGCTGACGAATGTACGTACATAAGAATCACTTATATCCAGCCCGCTCGATCGGACATTTTTCAGACCAAAAATTGAGGCGTGGAGTAATGATGATGGTTCTCGGGCGTGAGCAAATCCATGACACTTCGGGATGTTTGTAAAAGTCGTGGCGCAGAAAGTGGCTTCAACAGATTCATGCCCAGCGCTCGGGTGGGAAATCACATACAATCGCAGAATCGGGGAGAAGCTCGCAAAAACTGACGATTGATACTCTACCCCTTCAATATTCCAGGATTCTTCATCTAAGCGCAAGCAACGAAGTTCTTCTATATGTTTCACAAGAATGCTGGGTTGTGAACAAAACTTTCGCCCCAGGCGGGACTAGAACCCGCACCTCTCGCTTTCCGGGCAAGTGCGCTACCAGTTACGCTACCGGGGCACCATTTCATTCCAACTCAGCTTTTCATGGTATACGTACCATAGCTTTCAGCACTCAAACACTGCTAAGCTTTCAGCCCGCGGTCATTGCCGATATCGGCTAACCGGCTCAACACGTTATACGTGTGAGTGCTGACAAGCTATGGTAAGTATACCATGAAAAGCTGAGTTGGAATGAAATGGTGCCCCGGTAGCGTAACTGGTAGCGCACTTGCCCGGAAAGCGAGAGGTGCGGGTTCTAGTCCCGTCTGGGGCGAAATGTGGCATAACAGTGCGATGATTGTAAAGGTTAGGTTTAGGTTTATGCTTGGGCCTGGGGTTGGACTTAAATTGAATGGAGTTCTGAGAATCCGAAGTGATTCATAATTCTTCCTCTAAGTTTGTGAGATCTGCAGATGCCTGCCTAAGCTGTCAAATGTCTGCCTAAACTCCAATTTCATATGAAAGCAAATGTGGTGACCTTCTACGGGTGCTATTAGGAGATCGTTGAGCTTGTGCTCATCGTTCTCACTACATGGACCGACGTGAGCCAGATAGCCTCGCGCTTCGCGAATGAAAAATGAGCTATTACGTTATCGAAAATGAGCCCATGTGCTTCTCATTCCCATGTGACATTACACGATGCCGTACGATGAGAAAACCTCGCGCTTCGCAGAAAGTTTCTTCCGACGATCTAATCCTTTGACGCTGGACCATATGAAAATTGGTGAAGCTGGCATGAGAATAAACAGACATAGGAAAGGAATACCAATGCGTCTTTGAATTTCTTTTCTTCGGTCCTTTTTTTAAAGAGGTAGCGTAATAACTAGCGCATTTTGCGGAGAAAAGAATTCGTCACTTAAAAGCCTTCAAATCATTGCAGCCCATTCCGGTGATGAAAATTAACAGATGGCTACCACAAGCCGTGCTGATCACAATATGCCAAGCATTAGCGATTTCAACGAACACGGCTGCGAAAGCCTCGTCCATCATAGAGTAGTTCCGGCGTAGATTTCTCAGGAAGATCCATCATACTCGCGCGCTCTACCGCTCTCCTTTATTGCGTTTTCCCTCACCTCCTCAGGAAATGTCACGTGCTGTCTTAAATCCCGAATGACGGAATTCCAGTCCCCGAACACCACATCTTCAGACATGCGAGATCAAGATGAAAACGAAGTGAAATTTTACCTCGCTAGAGGCAATGTGGGAAAAGTCCCATTTGTCAAGTCTCAGTGATTCCCCGTGCTCAGGTGTAGGTGCAGCGCCGACACTGAAATCGCTGATTTATGAGCAAGAAAATTACGATGATAAATAAGCTCCATTGAAAGAAAGGTAGAGTGACAGTGAGAGGAAAAAAAAAACCATTTGAACGCCGCGACAGCCGAGAAATGGGACCCTTCTCTGCTCCGTTATTTGCGCATTAGAGGCACACGACTCCTCATCGCTGTCTTTCTTCAACAACGACGATGTCTCTCTGCTTCTAATATCGCTCACAATAGACCTTCGCGGTAGATTATGTAGTCGTGAGCGTACCCCGCCAACACGCCATGAATGAGACCATGACAGACGCCGACGGTCAAATATTTTTCTGCCAATGGCGTGCCGGCCAGCACTCTCAGGAGGTTGTCTGTCTCCCAACTACGCAATTTTCTCCTTTTTTGACCCTTGTTCTTATCGTGGATTCCTTCTTTAAATTTGAACAATAGTAGTTATGATCGTATAAGGTTAATCATCGGATTTTTAGAATATTTTAAGAATACAGACAAACCCAACAACAAGCATTATAATTCCCTTGAACAGGCTAACGGTAATACCCAAGGGCGTTGGTTATAGAGAAGGTATTTCTCCTAGCGGCGAAAAATCCGCTATTTCTCAACTTCCAGGGCATTTGCGGCAGATCGACCATTACATCAAATTCGATCTCCACCAAAGAATATAGGGCACTATTTAGTGACGCACTCATCCATTGGACCAGCGTAAGGAAAGGATGTGGACAAAGTCACATTATAGCACGCAGTGCTACCTAGGCTGAAACACCCCTTCTTGAAAATTAATGTAACCCTTATTTCCCTCGACTCCCCTGGATAAACAGCCAAAACATTCGGCTATACAGGCTCCCAAAAAAGGGTCATTCCTTTTGTCAAATTCGCTTGCCCAAAACTCCGTGGTTAAGTATGCACTATTGCATAAAATCTATACCCTAAAATTTTTTACAGTGCAATCGTCAAAAACCAGTCGAATGTTAAGAACAAGTCATGACTAATTTTGAAACCTATAATCGATTGATGATTATTGCTTTTAGTTTCCTGAGCGAAATTTTTCTAGAACTAATGGGGTCATTTTCGTAGATTGAGCACCAATACAAAATTCGAACCCTATCCTTAATAAACATAAAACAAAACACTGCCACTGCCACGGAGCTTCAACATAGTTGTTTGTTGAAATCACGATCGTAAACGCTTGTCGCTGAGTAGGCTTTCAGTGCTTAGTGAGTTGGAAGAGCTGTTCTGTGAAAACAAATGCGCTGATCCTGCTAGAAGGACTAAATGGCTCCATAACCATCATCTAATATAATGCAACAGATACGTAAATCCTGCGCTTACAGCTCGCTGGTCCATCGCATATTAGAAACGGCGTCGTACCTTGTACCCACCGATCTCCCCCCGCCAAACTTCAGATCGTCACGCATAACATATACACATTGTTTAGCTGGTTCAATCTTCAATCCACGACCCTAATATTGGCATTGAATTGAATAGTTTTGCTGTAGCCTGACCAAGATTTCAGCACTTTTTATTAGGCTTACGTTTCGGCCTCTTCGCCTTCGTCAGAGCCTGAAAGTCGAAAAGCAATTGAGACCGATCCTTTCATGAACCAAAAATCCTAGATTTTTGTCGCCAAGGCGAAGGATCGACCACCCAAGAGCAGACATTAGCGTGTAATCGTTGTTTCGGCGACGGTAGGGAGACTTTTGTCTCGCAATCAGCCTTTAATGAGATGACGATGAGAGTCGTGAGTGATCTTTTTATC